GCATCCCCCACTTTGCATCCCATTGTCAAACAAGCAAAAAAACGGACGCCAAGCCTTCTAGGAAACAACAAATTCCACGTCCTCTTCATGCTTCTTTGGACTTGCAAAGAGTTGGACCTTTAAAAGGTTAATACATTCGATTATTACGGAAGAATTTTTGAGCTTTGTGGTAAATTCTCAATTTTTATACGGAATTGTGTCTCACAGTGAGATAAATGTACAAATATGAATAGTTTGGGCATTGTTTTTTCTCCTAGTGTGGTAGAGTAGCTTTGATTCCAGAAGAAGTGGAGAATTTGGCTATTCAACATGTGGATAACGTAACGCGAGTACTGTTCGAAGCATTTGATACACACTACATTAGTGCATCTCATCTACGAACAACAAGTTTCATGGCAAAAGATGATGAGAATTTGGAAGAGGAGGAATACAGCTGGACATTCACCACGGCACTCTTCTTTACCGCCACATTACTTACAACCATCGGTTTGTGCTTTTTTTTGCTTTGTCACTAGATGCATTGGGAGTCTTCCCTTTCTTCCCTTAACACTTCAAGAGTAACACTTAATAAGGGATTTTATTCGTCTGTTGGAAAATTTATCGGTGTGGTGGAACGGCTATATGAAATTGTGTGGATGAGTGAGGCTCATAACTGAGAAAAATGGTGAAATTGTCATCTGCGTCAATGGCGAAAAGAAACGCGACGATGAAACAACAGCTAATCAGAGGATCACTTTATGACTGTCCTGGAAGAAACTGAAAAATGTCAAAGCTGAAATCAAAAATTTCGATTTAAGAATACCTTTTGTAATGAAAAGTTGCATGCCCTCGTTGATGTTTAGCTTCCGCATTTTTTGTTGACCCGGTAGCCGTTTGCGTGGATGAAAGAATCACTAGCCAAAATGGGTTTTCCTGTTAAAAAATGGTGTGTGAAGGCACCACTTTTTTCTCACACAGCATATCACAAGTCCATTTCCAGAGAAGTGAAGCATGAAATACCACATCTGCTGGAGAGGGGGAAATCAGTAGAAAACATTCGCTGTTTGCCCAAACAGTAGAACCAATTGTTCATTGTGCAGGGCGCTTATTAAGATTCCAGCAAGGCTACGTCAAAGTGTTTTTTGCAGGTTATGGTAATTTGGTACCATTAACATTTCAAGGAAGAATGTTTTGCATCATCTATGCGCTGTTTGGTGTCCCTCTCATCCTCATTACTGTGGCCGATATCGGCAAATTCTTAAGCGAAAATATCGTCTGGTTATATGCAAAGTGATTTGTGTTTCACTATTAAAGCCTAGAACAGCAGGCTTTGACGTGTTTGCATTTGGACTGCGATAAAACAACTCAGTAATATCTAGGTTCTCAAACCAGTAGTCCAGGCTAGCCCTTTCTCCGAAAATTGTTCTGGACCGAGAGGAAATCGAATCACTCCTTTTCGCATCAGGAC